CCGGCGCGGTCCCCTTGTCGGGGGGGGTGGGGGGTGGTGGAGCCGAAGGGAAGCAGCGTGCTGCGGGGCTCCTGAGCGGCGGAGGGCGGGAGAGGTGAAGCGGGAGGTGGCCTGAAGGAGGCGGGAGGCTGCCGCGTCCGCGTGAAGGCGGCTCTGGAGGGGCACGGGGAACGCGGAGCGAGCGCTGGGGCGCTGGTGTGGCGGGTGTTGAGACCAAGCATCTTCGTGGTTCATATGGCTGTTGCTGTTGGATTCCGGTTACTGCGCTGGTGGAGCGATACTTGGTTTCACCTTACAAGGATCTTAGTCTGACAAGGATCTTGTGATGTTTTCAGGGAAAGCCGAGGAGTTAGTTCCTTATGTATTACAGGTTTGTGGAAAATCGTGAAGTAAAATGTGCCGAACAACTGTTTCTTAACTTGGATTTGTTAGTCTTAGCTATTATTTTTCTCTCCAAATGTATTGCATATATTTTCAACCTGTAGCAAATTCTTGTAAACAGTATTTCTAGAAGCAGCATCAGTAATTGCTGTATGCTATCACCTCCATGTGCATTTATGAAATGTTTTACTTTTTTAATTTAGATTATGTGGATAAGCCTTTGGAAAAACCTTTAAAGCTGGTGCTTAAAGTTGGAGGAAGCGAAGTGACTGAACTTTCTGGGTCAGGGCATGATTCTAGTTACTATGATGACAGATCAGATCATGAGCGAGAACGACATAAAGAAAAGAAGAAAAAAAAGAAAAAGAAGTCTGAGAAGGAAAAAGAAAAGCATCTAGATGATGAGGAAAGAAGAAAGAGAAAGGTAAGCTGTGATTTTTAGAATTCAGACATACCAGTCTTCACGCTTGCTTATCAGATCTAAAATCTGGTGCAGAGTACCAGAACCCTTTTTTAATCGCTGTTGTAAGAAGCTTATTGTTTGGAGACAGCACTTCACAAATGTAGAAAACCCCTGTGTGTGTGTTGGTGTATTTCTCCCAGTTAAAAGAGATATCCCTGTGATGATTTTTTGAACAAAGTAAAAGCTTGTTTCTTGAGAAACTGCTTGTTTTTCATATCCATTTATTTTGTCTGTAAGTATGAATACTTCCGTTTTAAGTTGGATGTTTTTTATTTCAGCCAGGTCAGAAACATGTTTTGCTACCCTTTGAGGAGGGTATTAGCTTTTCAAATAAATCTAGATTGCATTTCTGTTCCTGAGATATGCCAAGTTATTGGACATTGAAATTGTTATGTTTACTCAGAACAGCTTTCTGAAATCTGATGTGTTGAGTACTGAGGTACAATAGTCTTGTTGGCTCTTGTTTAAAATAACCTGCATGCTAGGCTTTGTTAGTAGCAAATGGTGTGGTCACCTTAGTTGTCTGTGCTGAACCTTTAAGAGTTAGATTGAAATCAGCAAGAAGGCATTGACAACACAGTTACCTGTACAATTTAATTTTAATAGTATTTCTTTTGTGTACTAATGATTCTCTGATCTCTCTGCTTTTTTAATTCTCTTTTAATTAGTAGTTCTACTATTCTCATATGACAGTTTTTCGGTACTACTTTGTATGTGTGTATGGCTAACATCTGTCATTTCGAATTGATTTATTTGTTAGGCAGCGATATATCTTGTAGGATCATTCAGGTGCTCTTGAATACAGGGCAGATAGTGGAAAGTTTTCTTTGTACAAACATTTTCAAATGTTTCAGTTAACAGTATGGCTGGGACTTGAAATGTAGCAAAACAACTGTCTTTAATACAAGATCTTGCAGCATCAAATCAAATTTTTTTTTTTTGCCTTTGCTAAATTGTGTGGGGGGGGTCATTTGGATTTCTTTTTTTCCCCAGAACTTCATTATTAGCGCATGCAAAAGAAGCTAACGGATAGATAAGTAACAGAACTGTAGTCTAAGCAAGGTTAATGAAAGTATGCTTTTCTGTGCAAACAAGAATAATGACTGTAAGATTATAGGAATGACTCAGGCATGCCTTTGCTTTGAAGCTCAGGAAGAGATCATTAATTGCCACCACTGTTACAGGGTATTTCTTATGGTTGTTTTGTAGGCTTCCTAAATTATCACGTACTTTATTGATTCCTGTTTAATGCACCAAACAACAAAAACACGTTGATCAAAGCAGAGCTACAGACTGATCTTTACTGAATAGTAAATTAACTTCCTTTACTCTCTGGTGTAGCTTATTATGCAATTTTACATAGAAAGAGCTTCAGAGTTTAACATTCTTTTCAGTAAAAATACAGTAACTAATGATAGAACGATAGTGTATTAAATACAAAGAAATACAAAGAAGCAAAAGGTGAACAGTATTAGTTTTAATTGGAGAAGAAAACTAAAAAAGTGACAATGAAAATGTATGCACTATTGTTTAAACCATATTATGGCTCAGATATAGAATGAGTATTCCAAACGAAAAATCACTGTCTCTTACCTTTTGGTATGTGGGATTTCACATTCCAAGTACGTTCTTCTAAAACCTGTCTTTTTCCTGCTGCGCTAGGAAGAGAAAAAGAGGAAGAGGGAGAAAGAACAGTGTGACACTGAAGGAGAAACTGATGACTTTGATCCTGGGAAAAAAGTGGAGGTTGAACCTCCTCCAGATCGTCCTGTCAGAGCATGCAGAACTCAGCCAGGTGAGCAGTGTGAAAAACTAAATCATCTTGGGTGCTTTTTTAAAAGCACTCACAACAAAGCTTTTGTCAAAGGTACCAAAATGTAGAATTTCCATGAGGATTTGCTGAAATCTACAGACTTTATTAAAAGTCAATATTCCTCTTGGTGCTTCTGGGTTTTAGTAGGTTTGTTTTCATGTGACTGAACTTGCCAAGGACATCTGTCTCTGGCTCCTGTTACTTGGCAGAAAAAAGCTAGCATAAAAGTATTATTGTGTGTAGTGTTCCCCTAATTCCTTCTCCTTAGCATTTCCTCAGCATTTACAGAACAATGGTCAGAATGTCTGAAACTAAGTTGTGCTCAGTTCAAGGGAAAAAAATCTTGTGGAGACTGCTTAGCAGTTGTTACGGTCTTTTTTTATAACCTATGTGGAGTTTTAATTTTAGTATCTCTATTTTCATCAAAAGTACGGCAGTAATTTGTGATAGGGTGTCTCTAAAGACCATATTCTGCCCCAGTTTTCATTTACCAATCTTCTTTCATTCTCATCACCAGCCAAAATACTTATCAGTTGTGTGTGGTAACCTCTGCATGTTTAATCCCTTCAGATTTTGCCATGCTTTCTCAACCCGTAGCCATTGCTCGATAGTTAAAACTCAACAATGTCCACTGGAAACTTTTACTTCCAAGACTTTTCAAATACATCATGATCTCAGTACGCATATGCCTGGAAATGGAACTTAGTAGCAAAAAGTTGGGTCTTTAGGAATATTGTGAGTCTTGTCTTTTGAACACTGCTCATTGACTGGTCAAGTAATTTACTGAGGAATTTTCTAATTATGACTGCACATTAAATTGAGGAATGGTCAAAGCTTTATGTCTCTGGGTAGTCTGGAGCGTTGAAAAACTGATCTCTATATTGATGAGGCTTCTATTTTCATCTGCTTGGAAAATGTTGTTCTAAAGCATATAAATTGAGTTAATTTGGTTATATGGTTAAGAAGGGAAATGTCTCTCCATTACCATGATGAAGAGTTGGAGTTTTAATTCTAGATTTCAGCATGCTGCTTCTTTAGTTTTTCAAACTTCACATTAAAGCCAGTCTTTTTCAAGTATGTGCATGGAACAGGTAATTAATGTGTAGTGTTTACTGTTTAATCTGTACAGGAAGTGAAATCGTAATCAGTACCTCTCTTGCCAGCAAATCTGCATCTATTTGTCACTCTCTTTGATGGAAAAGATTCAGAGAAGCTAATTGCATTGGTGTTATGGTAAAGAAACCATTAAAATTGCACGGATAACGTTGTAAGAATGCGGGCTTCCCAACTGCAGTATTTGAGCAATGAAGTTTCACTTTTCTTTTCCTGTAAAAATGCATAACACCTTACTTTTACCTTATTAATACATTTTCTTACAACTACTAGACTTAGCATTACATCTGATTTAATGTCTACTAGTTTTTAATGTGATTAAAACTCAGTAAGTAGTAAAGGAGCAGAAATAGTTACTGTATGCTTAGAGATTTGATGTGCTTCTGCTTTGAAATCCATGTCTCATTGACCTTCAGATGAGTACAAGCTGTACTTGTAGTTAAGATTTTTCTCTCTGGTATTTATATTTTTAAATAAATATACCTACATTCTGTTTCTTTGCACTTATCTGTGTTTCCGTCTCAAACTGCAGCTGAAAATGAGAGCACACCGATCCAGCAATTACTAGAACACTTCCTTCGCCAGCTTCAAAGGTATTAAGTGTATTGTATGTACAGCTGTGTTGACAGTGTCTAATGCATATTTGTATGTGTTACTTTACAACTACTTATCCTGGTTTTCTGTTTGAAAATAGTGCCTAAAGACTGGCTGTAATATGTTTGCTAACCTTTGCAACCATGTCAGACCTGGTAGCTTTAAAAGATTAGTTGAGGAAAATTATTACCAACTATGTAATTCTAGCCTTTGGCAGGGAAGTGTTTTGGGCAGAGGATACATTGCCATTATAAATTTATTAAATATTAACGACTTAGTTTAGGAATTAAAAAAGTTATGAATTTTTTAATAGTTTAAAAGATTGAACTGTTCTCATGCAATTTTGCTTATTCTGTGTCCTCTGTCAGATACCAAAGCAAGTTTAGACCTGCTTACTTGATAATCCTCTTAATTTGGAGAGGCTTTTTATTTTATTGTTTTCCATAAAATGTTAACCCTGTACCTCATGTTTTTAAAACCAACCAACCAAACAAAATACTTCATTTTCCTTTTTTAATACATAGCAATAAGCTGAATTTGGAACTAATTGAAAATATTAAACACTGTAGTTATTTTTAGAGGACCTCATGAACAAGAAGAATTGAAGAGGTTATTACTCAGTGAAGCCAAAAGACCCATTTGGTGCGTAAACAGAGACACAGAAAGCATACAAGAAATAATTAAGTAATTCAAGAACTAGCTGAATCTCTTTCAAAAAGTCTACAAGTTTGTAACCAAAATTCTCTCCTGTATAAGGAAATTTTTCAAATATGCTTCTGTTTTATGGAGTGCTTTTGGTGTTTTTTCTTTTGTGTAGTACTATTCTTTTTATACCATTCATGTAGTATAAAAACAATGATCATTTTGTTTGCTGATATAAATCTAAATGTATTGTTTTTATTTTTAGGAAAGATCCTCATGGGTTTTTTGCTTTTCCAGTCACGGATGCCATCGCTCCTGGATATTCCATGATAATAAAGCACCCCATGGATTTTGGTACGATGAAGGAAAAAATTGCAGCAAATGAATACAAATCAGTCACTGAATTCAAGGTGAATTGATAGAAATTTAGTTATTTCAGAACTCTTTATTAAGAAACTGAAGATTCTTTTCAACTGTAGAACCTTTCTTACATTAATTATTTTAATGCGCATTTTTTCAGAACTGAGCACTTTTGTATATTCTGTGTGTTAGAATGGGTTTCTTGCTTTGTTTCTCAATGTGGAAGCTCTATATTTGTCAGATTCTATTACAAATTACTGTAGAAACCAAGAACATGCTCTAAAGTTCTATGGAATTCATGCTGCTAGACATAAGCAGGAGTAAGACTATCACAAAGGCTTCAGCGGTTGAAGAACCTGGAGCTCCCTTTTTTCTTTTTTTTGTTTTTTTTAATCTAGACCTAGTTAGATTGTTTAAAAGGCAATTTTGACATGTCTGCAAGAAAACTGTGGATATACTGAAACATTTTGTATTAGATTCAATAACAACTACGTATTTTTTATCTTTAATTGTCCTGTTTTCCATATAACTTCATTTGGAATGGTCTTTTGGCAGAAACTTACTTGGCAAGTTTATTGGCAACTTGCCTTAGCTATTTTGTGTATTGCTATTGCTGTAATACCTTAATGGATGCATTGTGGTTTTACAGACAATGCAGTAAGAAATCTTTTCATGGTATTGCCAGCTCCTGGAAGGAAAAGAGTTTTCTTTAACTGATTCGTGAAGTTCTATTAACTGCCTTCAGTACTATTGTTTTCTGGAGTGGTGTTGATATAACAATAAACTTGGCAGAGAGCATTGGCTTGCTTCTCAGGGTTAATTTCTTCTTTTGAAAGGTCCAGCAAGGTGAGCAAAGAATGGCTTATATTTCCTATAGGTGCTTTGACAAAGATTATTCTGTTTTGTTATGTATGCTTTATTTTTCAAAAAAAGTATAGAGATTCTATAGGAAAAAGTAAAGAAGGATTCATAATTGCATTGCCGTCAGCAATGCCTTCAGGTCTCTAAATTCTATTGGCTTGCTGGTTTCTCTTACTGAGCAACTTAAAAAGGAAGTTTGAATGGGAGCTCTGTGGCTCTATTTAGTTACAGGCAAGGTTGTAATACTGAAACTGGTAGGATAGCAACCTAAAAAAAAATGAAAATCGCAGTATTGTTTAGACTGACAGATTCTTTTTTTTCTGAAGGACTTGGTTTCTGCTGATACTCTGTGGAGCAATAAATGGTTGCTAGAAGTCTGTCCATCTTACAGTGACAAAGAGGTTGGACTCCCTTTCTAGATATGAGTGTACCTAATTATGCTTATGCCTTTGTAATTCTGTGTAATACAGAAATGAAGCTTATAGGTTTTTGACCTCTAAACCAAGGCCTGCTCAAAGGGATATCTTTCGTTTCTGATATACCTATTATTATAACTAGCTGAGGCTAGTCACAAGTCAATAAATAATCTAAGAGTAGAATCTGCAAGAACCATTTGCTGCATTTAGAAGAGGGGAAATTGCTGCAGAAAACTCATCAGTTTTGCTGCCGAAAAAAGGGTCTACTTCAAAGTTGGGCAAGCAAAAGACTCTTCTCTGTCCTTTTCTGCAGCACTTCAAAGGCCATCGCTAGATGTATAGCTCACATGGGCTTCTTTATCTGCTTGGCTCATAGTTTGCTCCTCCATGTCACCTTCTCAATTTCTGTTTTTGTGATGGTCTCGTTAAGTGAAGGCAGATGGCTTAAATGCTATGGAAAGTCACAGACCACCAATTGTAACTGTTCACCTACTTGCTTAGTATGGGCTTGATGACAACTACTAAATGATTAGGAGAGCACTGCTCTGACATCCCTGTATAGAAACAGGAAATAAAACAATTTTTTGTTTTTACAGAATCTGATCAGGATTGCAGTAGGGCAAGGTTATTTTTTGTAAATGGGTGCCAGAGAAAGTCTTTAGAAAGACTTCTATGTCCAACCACAATAGTAACCTTCAAAAATCTTTGTCTCAGCAAATTTATTCACTGGTCTGTAAACTCAATGGGTTAACTTTTCAAAAAGCATACCATTCTGTTTGCATACACTTTTGCTCATAATCAGGTCATCATCAAATATAGTGGACTCGTGCACAAAAAACATTTGCATTTGTGTCTACAGAATAAATGAAACCTAATTGCTTGAACGATCATTGTTTAAATATTGAAAAGTTATTAAGAGAGAAAAATATGTTCTTAAATCAGATGCCAGTTTAATTTGTTAGGATCCAATTTGTGAAGTGCCTGGAAAGACTACTACGTGATTCTTCGTTCTTGATTTGCCAACTTAAGAAATTTTCAGAGGCATATAATAATGTCTTTTTAATTCAGTGTTTCATAGAGCTTCTAATAATGCTTTCCATGCTTTACTCTACAGATCAGTAGCATGTGACTAGAAAAAAAGCACCCTATAAAAAGCTTTTGCAATCTGCAACGAATTTTTTTTGTTCTATTTACAGTGGAGTGTGTTGCACCTTTGTTTTGGGAACTTGCATCAGTAAAAATTACTTGAAATTATGTATGACAGATAACCATTCAAAGGAGAAGACAAAATCAGGCTTGGCTGTTCTGTTCTTTTGTTGCATGTGATGGGCATCTAGAAGGCTGTTTCTTATGCTTTGAAGTTTTCTTTTCTTTTTTGTTTTAGTGCAAGTGACCGAAGAAGTGGTCAAATTACTAGAATTAAAATTATGTGTAAGACACTTTGTATCTTTCTGATGTCATAGTATTTCTCAAGTCTATTCTGATTTAGAAGGTGGGGGAAAAACACCAAAAAGTACTTCCCTTGGTGCCTCAGTCCTATTAATTTCTCCATTTCTTCTGTTTGGTCCATTTGCATGAGGAGGAAATGTTACATTTGCCATTTAGGGAAAAGTTGTGGGAGTTTTTTATAACCAAAAAGCCAATTCCAAACAAAACTGAGCATCTTGAAGAAGCAAAAAGGGCTCAAACCTTTGCAACTCTGTTACCTTTTGGCTTCCATTCACTCTGTGAGCCTGCTGCTAAAGTATTATTGTGTTCTTCCCAGAGCTGCCATGATGGAATTGTATCTTCCAGTCATTTAACAAAGGAGTTCAAAATTTTAACAGTTCTTTTGTTTTGTATTTTACAGGCAGATTTTAAACTGATGTGTGATAATGCAATGACTTACAACAGACCAGATACTGTTTACTACAAGCTAGCCAAGAAGATACTGCACACAGGCTTTAAGATGATGAGCAAAGTAAGAGACCTATTAAAAACAAAAAGCAGAAACTCTTTGGGGGTTTTTTTGTCATACTTAAAAGGAACATAATTAATAACAATGACAAATGTTATTTCATCCATCTGTGATTAATTATAGCAGTGCCTGTTAGTGCTGCTGTATTTAAGGGCTTGATAGCATTCTTGTTATAACCACACCCTTATTTCTCAACCTTATCTGCACCACTGAAGTCTGTAGGAGCTTCTTCCACTGGCCTCAGTGGAAGCAATTAAGATCCATGTATATAAAAAACAACTGTAAAATATTGCTTCTGAAACTTTGAAAACAAGATCTCATTTAAGTTTTATTTCTGCATAAACAAGAAAGCTTTTCTTTTTTGAAGGTGGTGGGTGTAGGGGAGGTTTCAGGGTTTCACAGATGCGTGCGTGCAAACACACTTTTTACTCAAATACAGTTGTTGGCTTGTAAAATGAAGTTATTTTGGTGAGCTACTCTGTGTGTGTGTGTGCGCGCGCATGTGTTGCAGTTATGGTAAGTTTTGTGTAAAACAGGCAGTTGTCTTTGCATATGCAGTTTTTTTTTGTTTGTTTCTCTCTTGATAGTTGGGCTGCAGAAATTCTGATGCCATGCTACCATGACCAAATCATGTTGCATCGCCATTGGAAACGAGGCATTAAGAACAAAATAAGGCCATGGCCATTCCCATCCCATCCCATTATCATAGCATCTTGGCTATGAGGGAAAGGTTAAGTCCCTGCCGCTCTGTCCTTTCTGATTCTAGGAACGGCTGTTAGCTTTGAAGCGCAGCATGTCGTTTATGCAGGACATGGATTTTTCTCAGCAGGCAGCTCTTTTGGGTGATGAAGACACAGCAGTTGAGGAACCTGTCCCTGAAGTTGTTCCTGTACAAGCAGAGACTACCAAGAAATCCAAAAAGCAAAATAAAGAAGTTATTAGGTAAAGGTTTTAATGGGCATGCTTACTGGTTTGTTGCAGCTTTTGTAGTATTAGACAGCAGCAAAGAATCAAAGAAAAACTCCATTGAGCCTTCCTCCTTGTGGTCCATAGGATAAATGGGCAATTTTATCGTATTTTGTTTATTTATAGAAGTAGTTTAATAACCCAGTGATTCCCAACTTGAAACAAACAATTCAAAGAATGACTGCATATTCTTTTAAACACATAAAGTTAATGTATATGTAGATATTTTTATCCTTCTTTATATCTGTATTAAATAATGAGTAGTTTCTTCTCATAATGGTTTGAAATGTTCTTTCATTTTTAACATAGCCACAAATACCTTTCGTTGTCCCCCCCCCCCCCCCCCCAAAATGATTGACTGTATCAAAATCTAACAGGATCTTTCTGGGAAGGCAAAGTGGCCCCAGATAAGTAAATGATATTATTAAACTTTAGTCTTTCTGGCAGGATATAGAGGTACAGGAGATTATTTCTAGAGCAGATGATAACATCTTCCCACTGAAATCTTTTTAAGCTTCTTTGTAAAATACATTGCTAGTGCAGTAGCTATCTTTCAGCTAATAGGCACCCCTGTGTCACAAATTTGTGTTTTTATAGCTAAAATCTAATTTTAGTCAAAGGGTTTTATTTTCTGTTATATCAACTGGAATGTTATGAGGATAAAACTAACAGAGCATTACTAGTCATGTCTTAAATAATCTGATCATGTAGATGGGTTCTGCAGGCTTCTTTCTTAAACATCCAAAGTAGAAAAAGTTAAATGTAACTTATTTCAAGTTCATGCTCTCTCATTTTTGTTAGAAGTGAACTTTAGAGTTCTAATCAGCCACATGTGTTTTGTTACACTTCAAGCATTTTTGTAATCCTGCTTAATGTCTGATGGAAGAAGTAGTATTTTAATGTAGTTGTTCTGTGGAAATAGGAGACTGCAACATGTATCTTCAAAAATAATTTTAAACTGAGTAATTTTTTTGGCTGGAACTATTCTATAATGTCAGCATACAGAAGCATCTGTTGCTGTATCATGGAGAATTATCAAAGTGTAATTTGTTCTTTGTTTAATGGATTGTGTATAGGAATTAACTGAAAGTACCTTTCTGTAAACGAGACTTGATTTGGGGGGAGGTGGTTTGTTTTTTGTTTAGTGGGTTGGTTGTTTTTTTTTTTTTTAAAGATATGATGATTTGGTTTGGTGCCCAGAATAATAGATTTTCTCTTCTGATTAATTCTTACATAAACTCCATTACAGGAGTAACTTTGTACTTTGCCACTTTTTGTGTGCTCATCTTCAAATACACATAGCTAACAGAGCAAGAAATTGAGACTGCCAAGCAATATAGTACTGCTCTGTCTTTAATATCTACCTTAACATACAGTTCAGATAGTTAAAAATAACTGAACTTTAATTTTATCCTGATACCAGTTTCCTTGCAATCAGATGTGGTATAAATTTACTTTCCTGTTCTTTTCAATGTTTATGTAACTTTAGTAGTTGGAATTAATTTGGTTTTTCTAATTAACTTGACCTTTTAAACACTTGTATTTTGGCATCAGTAGGATGGATAGTATTCTTTTTGATGTATAATAAGAACTTTGGGGGGAGAATCGAACCTAGTAGCAGATATTTTTGCCTTCATATTTCACAGTTAAAACAGAGAAAGAGTTGAAGTCAATGTTTGCAAAGTGTTAAAGCAGTTTAGACCTCTATACTGTAGTTTAAAAAGTGACTTGATCGCTTGCACATCCTAATTTCTAAGTAGTTTTAGAAAATTTTGTCCAGGATGTTGCAACCTTTTGAACACTCTCTCAAAATTCTTGTCCATTAAGTATTCTGCAGAGTGTGATAGAAAGTGCCAGTTGTTGAGGAGTTTCCTGCTGTGTACACCCTTTCTTAAAGTTTCAATGAAACAAAAATCGTATAACACATTTGTCTCATAATAGTATGATCCTGTGATGTTTTTATTGTCTTTAATAGCAAAACTTTCTTGTGTATCGGATCTGAATCTCTATACAGAGAGAAATTCTTAGCTAAGCAAATGGAAGAAGATACCCCAGGAGAGAGAAATGGATTTGGTGTGAGGAGATGCTCTACCCAGTACCTAAGGTGTTTGGCCCTAGTGTCTAATGTCCATATAATGCCCTGAAAGATTTTGATGTACAAAGTTTATTTTAAATACATAATATAATGAAGACTGCCATATCCTATGATATCTTCACCCTTCCCCTTATAATACTACCTTCCTCTGATTTTATATAATAGCTATGTCCTGTTCCATCTTAAGTATGCTTATTTGTTATGTTTTTACTGTTTTGGTGCTTTAATGAAAAGGGATCTACTGAAAGATAAATGTTAAATTCTGTAATTTCAATGAGGAGGAATGGTGTGATTGATGCTGATTAGGGATACTAATTGCCAGTATTAACAAACATAGGAACTAAAGGACTCCCTGTTAGACTGGGAGCAGTGTCCTACTTCTACAAGCAACTAAATGACATAATCCTAATAAATGCAGCCTGTTGGGTTTTTTTCTCAGATTAGAGTTACACAGTCTCCATTCCCCCATCACATAATTTCTTTTCTGCATCTTTCTGTTTGGAATTTGTGAAAATAGCATATTCGTGCATGTGGGAGACTAAGGACGCATACAGCATTCACCTTGTATTAATGCAATTTTACTCCCAATCTCTGTTTTGTAATACTTTCCTTTATTTTCATCAAGGTACAGAAACAATTAAATTTTTGAAGTTCAGTAGTTTGGTAGTTCTCAGCTTCTGCTGCAAAACTTCAGTTTCATAATATGATTATAATTCCACTTAAATGCTGAAGTAGACTGACAATGGGAGAGGAGTGGGACTGATTGTTCTATTTAGCAAACCCAGAATTCAGCCCTTTGTTTTGTTTTAGCTTTTAATTTCTACAGCTACTCCTCTTCTTTCTTAGTTGCATATTTGAACCTGAGGGAAATGCGTGCAGCCTGACAGATAGCACTGCTGAAGAACATGTCCTGGCACTAGTGGAACATGCAGCAGATGAAGCTCGGGATAGGATCAATCGATATCTACCCAACAGCAAGGTCTACTGCACAACAAAGTTCACAATTTTGTGTCTGACTATTGAATGCTTTGTTTCATCTTAGGAAACAGGCTTTAATACTACATTTTCTGAGACTGTAACATCTAGCATGTAGCATCTGTATGCTCTGTGTGGAATACCAATATGACTTATTATCTATCATTTAGTTCCCACTGAAGCCCATTGTATGGTGTCCTAAATGGATCTCAGGTTGTATTGTGTGTGGAACATCTTTAGAAATCACTTGCAGAAAACCGTGAAATGTTACTCAGTCTTGCATCTGGCTTCCTTAATTACAACCCTTAGCATTGAAAGTGATTAAAATAGCATCACGCTCTTCCTATTGTTGCAACCTCAGAAAAAGCAAACTTTGGCATAGGCTGAAGGTTTATTAGGACTCCGCGCCCCCCCCCAGGAATTCAGTAATTTTTAAGTGTTAGATTACTGTTTTCAATGAGAAGTCCAGAACCTCTTGTAGTTTTGTACCTACAAGTAGTAGCTGTCAGCTATAGCACATTCTTGTGTGAGTACAAAATACAGACATCCTTCAGTGACTAGGAGAAGATAGCAGTAGTTTGTCCATGTTGGAATTCTGGACAGTGCTAACCGCAGGTTTGATCATCTTGAACGTGATTCTGATACTGTTCTATGCATTTGGTTTTTGTGCTGTTCCAAGAGTTAGAAGGAAAAGCTCAGTGATACTGTCAGTGCAGTTTTCTCAGCACTATCTGTTTATGGGTTGTGTTTTTCTCAGCTATGTAGTAATGGTGGATTCCTTCATTACTTCATGCTAGGGTTGGAGTGAATGCTACAGGCATTCGCCACAGATCTATGTTGAGATATGTTTACTCTGTTTCCCTTGCATCGTGTGGAGTCTTATTACCACCAGATATGTTTACTCTGTTTCCCTTGCATCGTTTGGAGTCTTATACTTTGTCCTCATTTCTCATTCTGTCACATACTGTAGTGACCACTGCAATCGAAAAAAGAATCAGGATGTTGCTACATCCTGCATTTTCCACGTATTTTTTTAACAACTATTGCAGGAGAAACATTTGCTTTGAAGCATTAGTGGTAGCAGTTGTGTCTTCAAACTTAAATGCCTGTTTCTTGGACAATGGCCCTTGTTATGCAGTCACCTTAGGCTCAACTGGATTAGGAAGTAAAGCCTCAAAGAACAGTGGGAGAAGGTTTAGCTTCTTCAGTATATTTCTGTTTCTTTGGATAATTAGACTTGGTAGGATTGAAGGCTATTTGAAACCTCCAAAGTAGGAGTGGCTTTTTAAAAACCCTTTAAAGCAATACCAATCTTCTGCTAATTGCTAGCTTTACTGAAAAGGTCTTTCATGCTGATGCAAGAAAGAGGTGTTCTAGGTGTGCAACTCTTAATTGTCTAGGCTGTTAATCAGCTAGACAACCCACTGCAGATCCCACTGAATCTAGGTAACACCGACATGTTCTTAGAGTTCAGCTATTATTAACTTTTGCCATCGCTTGAAGGTATTGTTCCTGTTCATTCTCTTTCCAGCATTTATCACCTCTATTTTTATCAAATGCCAAATTAGCTTTGGCCTTATGTATGGAGAGAATTTTAAACTTTTTAAGAGGGAGGGGAAAAAATACCAAAATAGGGGAGAGTTTTATTGTTAAATTTACTTGGAAGTATTTACTAATTCTTCTTTAGGGAGAGCATAGTTTTCATTTTCTGTCTTTACTGAGAAGTTACAGTCTTTTTTGCACAATTCATGTGTAGTCAGTTTCTGACATCAGCTTCATTTGTTGCATCAGTTCTGGCTCTATCTTTACAGACCCCGTGTGTTCTATTGTCTTTCACATCTCTGGCTGTCTTTTTAGTGTTGTATTTGTGTGCTCTGATAGGTCTGTCACAGCACTTCTTCCTCTTTAAGAATTTGATAGTGTGTTCATAAAAGTACTTCTAATTACAGAAAGTTGTGGGTGAGATATGAAAACAAGCAGTTCAGTCTAGATTTGAAAATAAACTGTGGTAGATTGTGGATAGGAGTTACAGTTCTGCTTCTAAAAAGAAAGTGTACTCAAGGGTTGGCAGTCAGAAAGCCTGGCTCCATACTGATTATAATGGAATTGTTTTTGTCTTGGATGCAAACTTTAGATGTGATTTAGGAAGATGAATAAGGAGTTGTATATATGATATACAAACTTTTACTCCTAAATCTTCTGTTCTGAAGCATTTGCTAGGCAGTGATAAATAGTTGTGACCCAAGATTGTCTGTATTAAAAAGGGAATACCAGAGTGCAGGATCTGAATACAGCTAAAAATGCTTTTTATAGTTTTCTGTGTAAGTAAGCAACTCCTTCCTTGAGTTTGGACGGTTTTGAATGATTGTGTCTATATCTTTGTGGTTTTATTTACAGATTGGTTATCTGAAAAAAAATGGAGATGGAACTCTTTTATTTAGTGTAGTAAATTCATCTGATCCAGAAGCAGAAGGTAAATGCCATAAACTTTCAAGCAAACATTTCTAATATTGAATGTTCTAGCGGATTTTGAAGTGTTAACTGTACATGCAGATCCTCTGTGGTTTAGATGAGTTTTTAAAAAAATATATATTCCCCAAATCATCTTCCCCTACAGCTATATTTAGTATCTCCAATATAAGATGTTTCTCTTTGCCTTTCAAATTTTCACTCTTCAGATGCTCTGTTTTACTGATGCTAACAGTAAGAAGGTAAAATAATATCTATTTATAAGCACTTACGCATTGCTACAACTTTATAGAGAACTTGGAAGACAGGCTTTTGCTCCAAGTACCCTGTAGTGTTAAAATCTAATAGACAAAAGGTGAATGAAAGTGCTGTAATCCTATGTAAATGTGCAGTGCACAGATGCAAATTCAGAATAATCTTTTTTTTAATTTCCTAATTTAAATTATTAGCTAAATTTCAGTTTTAAGTTAATTAGGTTTTGCTTAATTGTTTTTCTTTAGTTCCTTGATCTTTTCTGTGGGTTTTTGTTTGTGTTACTACTGTACATTATTTATATTGTCTTAATGCTTTCCACTTGTTTTAGTTTCAAGCTCCAAAATGCAGAAATTTTGAAAGTTTGTAATGAACGAAATGTCATAGTCTTTATGCTGCTGTATGTCATGTTGATTTAGCACTTCCTTCTCTGCACCTTTTGAGACTGGAATTCGTTCACAGCTTACCTATTGTTGCATTGATGAATGCATGAACCCTTTTGACTAGTTGCATTTCTGTTGATTTTTTGATTGGGAGATACAAGCCTGTAACTCTATTACTGTCTAAATTCCTTTTCATTTGGTAGTAAATTTTTCTGGAATGAAATTGAGCATTTTGGCTGCCATCATGCCCTTACCTATTTCCGAAAAAATAAAATAATGAAATCAATGTGATTTAATACCTCTGAAATCATGCCACTGAAAATTTAGACAGTGATGGTAATGGGAGCAGAGCAAGCTTTCACTGTGTGCTGTACCGTCCTGCTTCCTGATGTTTCTGTGCTCCAGAATCTTTTTTGATTGTTTCTATAGTTAATACTAGTTACACTGAATTTACAGCTAATAGTATAATCTGAATTTTTGTTGTAGTTTATTTTTTTTATCCTAGTAAGGTTCTATGGATAAACTTGCTTTCTGTTGTTCAGTAATTGAGCATAATTACCATTAGATTCCATAACAGCCAGAGAGATGTAAAATAACTGGAAGTGTCCTAAATGTTCTTGGGATTTTTTTTTTTTTTGAGTTTAAAAGCATATTCCAAATTATTTTGAGCCATTTTAATTAAGCAGTTCTCAGAACTTTAGAAGAAAAAAATATTGCTATAGCCATAATGGTAATTATCTTAACAGGGTTCTTTTCGTGGTGTCTGGGTTTCTATAGACAAACTACCACTTAGTCAACATAAGAAATTGCTTTTATCGCTTCACAATATCTGGAAATTGAATGTTTGTGAATCAGCTAGTAAAAGAATTTCAGGTGCTGCTGTATACTTTAAAAGTGGAATAACTAAGCAAGCCATAGATCTTGTGCATAAGAGATGGAAACATATTTACAGCATGTATTTGAAATTTAAATGGAGAACCTGAATTACACTACCTATCCTTAATAAAAATGTACAGATTAAAACATTTAGCCTTTATTTTAACTGCAGCTTTTTAAAATAGCAAAATCTAAATATTCATCATAAATAAATTTTAAACATGAAATGCTTTTCTAAAAATTATCTTCTTTTAAATCAAATAATTAGAAGAAGAGACTCACCCAGTGGATCTGAGTTCACTGTCAAGCAAATTATTACCTGGCTTCACTACACTGGGCTTTAAAGATGAACGAAGAAATAAAGGTAAATGCCAAAGAACGTGTTTTAACTTTGTGTTAATTAAATGTTTGAGCAATTTCTTAATATAAAATAATTTCAGATTATACCTGTCACCAAATGAAAGCTCACTTGGTTATTTCTATAATACATAATTATTCCATTTACAGCAGAATGCAGTTTTAATTAAATTGACTTTTCTGCCTATTAAACATAACTTAATTAGGAGTTAATGGATTAATGTTTTGCCTTAGTGTTATAGCCACACTAGAAGCTTTCCAATGATGGTACTCCATTTTCTCTGGAGGAAATAATTTTTCCTGAGCAACTGTGCTTAGAGTTGAGAAAAAAACCTTTTGGTCATTTGCATTTTTGTATCATATGACAAGGATTTCACGAACTGTGATTTTTTTTTTTTTTTTTTTTTTTTTAATAAACTAGTATTATTGACATTTTTAATCGTTTCTAATCTGTTCTCCAGAAACTGACTGGCAAACAACAGTGAAGTAGACACATGCAAAAAGCAGAAATATAAAAGGGGGCAGGGCGATGAATTTTTTTTTTTGTGGGAGTGGGTTGGTTAACTTAGTTCTTTATTTTCCAGTAGTGTAAGTATGTTTATTTATATGGTTAAAATAGTTGCACTGATTCTAAAGTCTGGAATTGTCCTTGAGATATTGCTCATGATTTCAATTGGAGGAAAAAACCACACTGCACTTGCTGTATCTGTTCCAGAAAACAAAATCTTTTTTTCTTTTTTTGTCCCCCCAAGTAATCTTTTACACTTGTGTTAATCATTTGTCATCTCTTTCTTCTACCTGTCTAGTAACCTTTCTTACAAGTGCTAGTACAGCACCTTCCATGCAAAACAACTCTATATTTCATGATTTGAAATCAGATGAAATGGAACTCCTGTACTCAGCTTATGGCGATGAAACTGGGATACAGTGTGCCTTAAGGTAAGCACTTCCTTATTAGGAGGCTTAACTTCTCATAGCAATTTTATGAAAAGCAATTTGGACTAAATGTCAACTAGGAACCTCCAAATCCTGATATTTTTTCCTAAAACATTTTAAAAATAACTCGCTATAAAAATTGAAGCTAGCTTTCATCATGGTTGGTGGGGGGTTTTTTTGGTTTTGGGTTGGCTGGTTTGTTCGTTTGTTTGTTTGTTTTCCATTTCCACTTTTAAGTTACCCTATTTTATTGCAAGGCTGTTATGGATCTTGTTATTAGGGTCTTTGACCACAGGATATTATAGGTTGCTAAAGATTTAGCATTTTGCTTTAAACCCAGCAGTAAGTAGGTTTAGACATGCAAGTAATAGATTTCAGTGACTTAAAAACAGTGATATTTTTCAAGGAGTTTCAAAACAGTTAGAGCTACTTGCAAAGGAAAATGCCACTTTTCATTAAATTGTTAATCTTGGAGGGAAAGAATTAATCACAAGCTTTTTTCTTTTCTTTGTGGTTTTTTTAACCCGCTGCCAATGATAGTTCAAGTGAAAATTTTCTGATAGTTGTGAAAAACAAGTTTGCACAAACATTTACTTCCATTTAAAAAAAAAAAAAAAAAGAAGAAAAAAAACCCCTATCTTGAAGGCCTTAATTGCTTTTCTGAAGAAGCATAAAAGGGTAAAAGAACAAGGAAAATGTAGATGTAATGCAGCATAGTTGGGGAAAACCATATTATAAGTTGAAATATTTTTAATGAAAGTAAACATTTTCTGTAATGCTTATATCTCCATTCCTACTAGCTTACAAGAATTTGTGAAGGATGCTGGAAATTACAGCAAGAAAATAGTAGATGATCTTCTGGACCAGATCACTAGTGGAGATCATTCCAAAACTATTTATCAACTAAAGCAGGTGTGTACTTGATACACAGAAATGTCACAAGTTCATCAAAACAAGAATGGACCTGTTTCTGTTTTTTAATATTGCATGAGATGCTTTGTTTTCCACTGTCAGTTTAAGCAGTGCAGGCTTAGCTGTTCATGCAACCATGCGGTGAACCAAATTAGAAACTGAATTAATCAGCAGAGAAGTAATCTTTTTCTTTTCTCCAGCTAGATCAATTCTCCAATGTGGTTCACTATGTTACTGCAGAAAGGAAGAGGGGGGTGTGCAACATAGCAGGGGGAGAAGGGACCAATCAACTGAATAGTGTTTGGGCAGCCCTGTCACTCAATGTCATGACTTATGTATCTGCTTCTGAGTTATGTTGCAATGATTTTGTTAAGGACTTTTTTTTTCTTAATTTAAATGCAAAATATATTCCTTGTGGAAGGCTTAATTATTTACAATGTTGAAATAATGTTGGAGAATAGATTAATATCGCTGTACAGGTATGTATTACCCATCAGTGTTAGCTTTTAAATTCATGTAGTATGTCTGAAGGGAAAACTTTCAACTTATTTCTAAAAGCACTTTACCTAGGAGATTCATATTAAGACTGGAGAAGAGATTTTTCTCAGAAATGTGTATAATTGTAGTGGGAATGTTTGCATTCCCAAGACAAAATAGACTACCAGCAACTGCAAAATCTTGTTTCATGTTATCTTCACTCTGAAAACCACTGTTAGTTTGAAATAATTGTCTGCTGTTTAAAATTATGGCATTCTGAATGATTCAAGAATAAAGAAAGGGAGGCGGTGGGGATAATGGAAGGTACTCAGACTTCCTGACGGGGTGGGAATGAGATTATGCTAAATCTCTGCAGACTTAGAATAGGGTGGGGGATGTTTGGGGAAAAGGACTCAATAGAATGAAAAATACAGAGGATCCTTCAGAATTTTCTGGGTATTTTTTTCCAGTCCCTACTGGAAAAAGATTGTATAGGAAACAGGAAGAAATGTAAAGGATTAGTTCAAAAAAATTCAGAAGTTCAAAAACAATATTGTGAATATTCTTCTACATCTAGAAAGGTGTGTACACCACTTATTAACTTAGCTTTAAAATAAAACATGTGCCTTTCCCTTTTTGCCACCTTGTTCTATGAATATTGTTCCAAATGAGAATTTCTGAATACCTTTCAAATGGTCAATGGCTATTTACACTTAGAAATGCTGTTCAGTTGTGACATATGTGGATATGTACAGATTTTGTGCAATTAAATGTGTTTCAGTAATGGTGTGCCATGGTGTTTTATGCTTGAGTATTTTGTGCTGCTACATTTGAGTAAGAATGAATATCTCTGAAAGTGCAACCTTAAATGATTTGGAATCAGAAGTTACTGAAGTAATGACTAAGATACTGCACTTGAATATAAAGTTCGTGGGCAAAAGATTAGTAAGGGGATAAATAATTGTTAGTATTCTTTCTTTCCAGAGGCGAAACATCCCAGTAAAACCACTGGATGAAGTTAAAGTAAGTTATGCTGATACTCAGACTGTTGTTTTAGGGTTTTTTTTACTGGGAAAAGTGTCTTGGCATTTAAAGTAGGGAAAGTGATGTTATCTGGGCTTGCAACATTCAAATTCCTAATTTTATTTAATGTGCATCTGTTCTGTATAATAGTACAGTAAAGATTGATAAGTGGAGTATGTGATAAAGACGAGGCTGTTAGGTTAGTCCTAAAGAGGCTGTTCTAACAGGCTGTCCTGGTTAGTTCTAAATTATTCAAACATCACAAAACATGATAGTGTTCTGTGGTGGCCTAGGATCCAATCATGGTAAACCAGTAAATTATACAAACTAAGAGTATTCTTAGGAAACATAAGTATAAGCTATAAATGCTAAGATCTAAAATATGATTTGGTTCTTTAGGTTCTGCCAGTTCTCATAAAAGAAGAACACAAGTTGCGTAATACCTGTCCGGATTCTTCCAAACAGATTATGGTAAAATGGTTTGTGTGGTTAAAAAAAAAAAAAGACATTCATCATTCATTTTGTTTTAGTGCAAGGATGTGCATGCTATGAGGTAGAAGATTAAAATTACAATATCTAGAATAAGCTTTAGGTACTTAAAATGGATTCTCTGACAGTCTATTTTAGTTAGTGGCTTTGTTTTTCCTGTTGTTTTGTATTCTCTAGTTTAATTCAGCATGCATAACTAAATCTCAGAGGCAGACAGACCACTTAGGAATCTGAAAAATACTTGATCTGCTGATGAATATTTGAGGTTCGACCTGCTGTAAGTGGAAAAAAACAGTAGTACTTATCAGTTGTACCACATCCATTGAAAATGACTGTTAGAAAGTACGGGTAAATAGTGCGTATCTTACGCTTTCACAGCTACTAATCAAATGTTTCTTTAAGTGGTACAGGTTTTGTCTTGCAAATTATTTGTGACAACAAAAGATATGCACTGTATTCCATGGCAATTCCCATAAAATTTATATGGATTACATTATAGCAACTAATAAAACTTAGTTTTATAAATATTCCTTATGTTTTGTGGAAACATTTGTATTTCTCTAGAAGGTGACTGGTTACGTTAATTCATGAAAGTGCGATTCATGAAAGTCAGAAGTTTCATTTTCATATTTCTAAAAGATAATACCTGGTTGTGTATTTACCTGCATGTCTTACTCCTCCTGCTGGAATAGGCAACTTCAGAGAATTCTGTTAGAATGTGTTTTGAAGCTTAACGACTTTGATCTCTTATTTTTTGCCATTGCATAGCAGTATTGCAACAGGTATGGAAAAAATGAAATTGTTGTAGTGCAGGCTGTATTTCATTATCCAAACGTATAGAAAAAATACTTGAGAGACCAGCTCCAGCTGATACTGTGTATAGGGAGGCCCACCTTACTGGTTTAATTAGTCACATACTAAAAATTTCAATAAATCCAGTGTTGCATTGACAAGGTGAGGGAAAAGGGGATCTGGGAGTGGTTCATGATGGGGGATACTAATAATGCTTCCCACCGCCAGGGTTCTGCCATGGGACAGGGATGAGTTGAGCATGTAATTGAGTCTCAGAGGATTTGGTAATGTCGGTTTCAACAGTCCCAGATGATGAGATGAAAGATATTTAGACTACCCTGCAGCTCCCTTGACATTCATATGACTGGTCTGTCCTGGAACCATGTTTGAGCTGCCTGTGAGTTGCAGGTTAGCCAAGATGGTTATGGATGCTCCAGTCTCAAGTGTTGTGGTGCACACTTTTGAGAGTATGGATTCATGCGTTTACCTTAAACATTAAAAAGTTTGTATAACAGCTTGTAACTATTGCTAGTCTTTCTGTTTCTTGTATTTTAATAGGTTGGAGAATCTGCTGGAGACAGTAACACTTCTGACTTGGACTTTCTCTCTATGAAACCATATTCAGATGTATCTCTTGATATTTCTATGTTAAGTTCGTTAGGTAAGTAATTAAATATACAATTATGGTTTAGTTGTACCATTTAGGCAAAATAACAGCTGGATTTGCTAAGAATAAAAAAGTGTTCAAAAAGTAGTAATAAGTCTACATTTGACATAGGTAAAAGTCTAGGGCTGGTACAAGGTAAATGAAACCTTCGTCTGTTTTTCCTTTGAGGCATCCATGTGCTAGCCAAGCTAACTTTTCCTGTACCACTGAAGAAACCAAAGTATTTGTACCTCACAATTTTGATAGCTTTGCTTGTTTTTTATGTGTTCATAGTAACATAAATTTTAAGAATCAGCGTGGAGCTTTGGCTCAGAAATGTTATTGCTTCATATGCTGTCTTTTGAAATAACTTGGGAAGTAGGTAAGTATGTGAAGCTCAATCATATCACCACTTGGAATGTCCCAAAACAAAAATCAGAAGAAACTTCAGATGTTGGAAAGACTTCAGCTTCAAATAAGGCAGTTGTATTAAAAGTATTAGGATGTTGTTTCAAATACATGTCTTTGATAGGTATCCTTCTTTAAATACTACAAGAAGTAATGTTCCCATTTCTGCAGGCTGCTGAGCTGGTCAGATGTCTTCAAAAATGTCATCACAAAAAAAAATACTGCTTATGATTTAAGATACTTTCAGTTTGGCATCTTTCACATTCTGAATTATATGTTATAAAACAACCAAGGTAATTGAAAGCTTAAAGAAAAAAAAGATTTCTACAGATTTCTCCCATAGGTGCAGTATTCTTTGAAAAGCAATTGTAAGCTCTGATTATGCTGTCACACAGTAATTTTATTGCAGTTCAGTAAAAAATGAATAAATACCTGTTTTATAGATAATGTTTAGACATATCAATCTTACTATGAATTTCTTGCTCCACTGAAAGCTGCTTATATTTTTCTTCTTTGATCTTTCTGTAAATAATCAAACTTCTAGGTTACTTAGCTTCCAGAGAGAGCTTATGGCGTTATTTCTTACAATTCTTGCAAAGTTAGCAAGGTCTGCATTGAAGACAGCCCAAAGAGAAGGGAAAGAGTTTATTTTCCTGTTTAAAGTTGAGGGAAATTTTTTTCAAGTCTTCAGGTGAAAGAACAGAGTATGTTGGCATGTACTTCCAGTTCTTTCCAATTTCACAATTTTTTTTGGTTTACTATAAAATCAATGTAACTGGAGAACATACTGTTCTTCACACCTTCTGTGGTGGGGATTTCTTCACCTCCATAAATTACATGTTCTATTTTAACTGTATTTTAAGTTAGATATTTAAGTAATCTTTCTACTGACGTCCTCTCCTTTGCTGCAAACTAAATGCATTAGTTCATGTCTGGAGTTTAACAGATGAGAAAGACAAATTATACTCTTATAGCTGTTTAAATACTGGGAGTCAGTTCAGTTTCAGCCATATCCCATGGTGCTCTCTTTCATCCTCCAGGATTGCCAAATGCATTTCAACATGTATTTCTTGATACTGAAAACAGATTTGCAGCTGTTGCCTTTTAGAAGTGCAAAGGAGAATGCAAGATGGAATTCGTTTGTGTAATAGACAACACTTGTGTTAATTTATTTTAGAAATTTTTTTATAGTGACTTGGCAATTCATGCGTCAATCTGCGTGTTCTAATTATGGGGTTTGGTTTTTGCCCTTAGGGAAAGTAAAGAAGGAGCTTGATCATGACGATAACCACTTACATCTGGATGAAACAACTAAGCTGCTGCAGGACCTTCATGAAGCTCAGGCTGACAGAGTGGGATCCCGGCCGTCATCCAATTTGAGTTCCCTCTCCAATACCTCTGAAAGAGACCAACATCATCTTGGTAAAGTTACCTGCGTCACAGAAGTTGCAGTACTTCTGCTCTAATTGAAACTGGTTAAAACTTACATTGTAATTTAAATAAATCTTTGCATGAAACTACTCCGATAAAACAGTGTTCTGACTACAGGATTACGTTTTAAATATGCATGGCAAAGACATACTTTTGACCTGTGGAATTAAGGACACTAATTGTAGTTACTTATTTTTTGATCAGGCATGATTGAAGTAATTGTGTAGTAAATTAATACTGACTGGCAAATCCCTATATGCGCTTGCATTTTATGCTCTTAGAAATATTAAGGAGTATATAATGTTTATTTTACTTCGTCATAGTTGTACGCAGCAAGTAACAGGTGGGATTCTACAATAGCCTTCCATTGTTGACTGTAAAATTCAGTGATAAGACAGGGTGATAGGGTAACATACCACTTAACAATTTGGAGCCATTTCTGAGAAGGTAGGAGATGTTGGTTCGATGATACTCAATTACATTTTGTATAATTTTTCAACTCAGAGTAATAGAATAATGACTGCCTTTTTCAAAAAGGATCTAAATTACTTGAAGAATCTTACAATTTCTTTTTAAAAATCACCTGTTTAAATATCATTTAAATATCTGTCTTGCTTTAAAAGTCTGAAAGGAACATGTGAAATAACCATGCTGTTTATATACATAAATATCTCCATTATTTTTCTGTACTTCTAAAGGTTTTGATTTTTTTTTAGCCCCATGTTCTACAGGAAGCCCCTCTCATCTGAGTGTTGGAGAACAGCAAGACATGGTTCACGATCCTTATGAATTTCTTCAGTCTCCAGAAACCTCAAATACCACTACTAACTAATCTGACATGTACTATATATATTTTGTATTTTAATTGTATCATGTTTTTATAAAGTTTTTGTCCATGGCAGAAACCTCAATTTTGTCCTCTTTTCTATGAGGATTCCTGTATAATATTATCATATATGCTGGATTAAACAACAACAAAAAAACCCCTACTTAGTTTATCATGTTGTTAGCAATGTACCAAAACCTGCTTTTGATTTGTTTGTTGAGGGAGGTCGTTGTCTACTGGTGTGTGAATCTTGACTGCAAAACAAGAAATAATGTGTTAGAAAAATTTGTATTTTATAGAAACTGAAAAGTGATAATTTTCCCAGTATCATGGCAGCAGTCATTAGATGTTTCTAGTAGAGTTATCTACCAGTTCTGTTCAGATCTTAACTTGAACGTCCTCAAGGAGGAATATTTTATTTCAGCAGTGACAGAACTGCATGAATTGTGATCATTATTATGTTTCCCATCTCCTAACCCTAATAATCTGTAGAAGTTGTTTCTGTTTCCCCATATTTTTAAATCTTTTTTTTATTCACTCTAGAGAATACTTAATTTGAGAATAACAATACTTGGTAGTTGCATTAAAATGCTCACTACGAGAATTCTACCCTGGATCTAAAAAAGATGGATGTTTTTGTGATCCCTTGTGTCTTGAAACACAAAGTAAATATAATACTTATATTTTTTAATTTGATACGTATATTTACTTGGAGGGAAAAAACACTGGATAAGGTGTTCTTTTCAGTAATTTTAAAATGAAACTTTTATAATTCAGTACTGATGTAACTGGGGCATTTTGTACCATATGTAATTAATTTACAATATTTTGTAAATATTAATAAAAATACAAAACTACTTTTGATGTTTGCAAATATCTTGTTCTTGCCGGGAGAAAATTTGCTTCCTTATCTTTGCAAAGTCTGAAATACTAGGAGTTTTTGGTCTGAATTTTTGTGCTGCTTCAAAAGATAAATTTCATCGTGCCACATGTAGTTGTAAACAAAATTAGCTGTGAATTTCTAAGAACCAACAAGGAAGTCTGTCAGATACCTGATATCAAAGTCTTGATAAACCCTAAATAGGAAGATCTGTTCACTCAAACTAGGTATTTGTGGTCTGGACTGTTTCCTCTCCCTCCCCCTCCGAGATGCTTCTTCCCAGCCCCTCCCCCACCCCACTTCTTAGGGATATGTGTGTTTTGTTTGGCTATTACATGTAACTTTATGTTCAGCTATGAAACGGGTGGCTGCCTGTTCCCCTCTGTATGCTAGCTGCCTGCTCTTTCTGTTGCCAGAAGTCATTTGTGGGACTTCCACCTGAACTGGATAAAAAACTTCTGAGTTTCAAACATCCTTCTTTGCTTCCCCCCTAGTCAGTCAGTTTTGCAAAACAATTAAGGGAGCAGTGGCCCACCTAAAGGCTGGAAATAAAGAGTGAGGATCAGGAAACGGGAGCTCTTGAAATCAGCATTGCCTGGCAAAGCCAGTTTGATAGCAAAGCCTTTATAATTATGAGCTGTCTCAATTGTGAAGGATCTGACACCTAAGCTTCTCTCTGAACATCTGCAGCATGTGAAGGATCTGACACCTAAGCTTCTCTCAGAATCAACATCTGCAACGTACCCCTCACACTGCCAGTACGTCATTCTTGTGTCTTGCCTTAATACTGAACAGAAACATGGATTTTGCTAAGATACTTTGATAAATCAGGTAATTATCTTACCTATGTCAGCCTTCTTTGATGTAAGTATCTTGTTTTTGCAGTTCATCCTGAGGTGAAAAGTTTCAGTCACGTAGGAAGTTTGCTGGCTAGTAGTGCTATTTATCTGTTACAGCTTTAAATGTTGGAGTATATTTTTAAGCATTAGTCTTCAAGCTCTAGTTTTTTGGGATTGTTTGTTTGTTTGTTTTACAGAGTGCATATGTTGTGTTGGTCAAGAAAAGTTGGGATGGCACAGCTAGAATGGGCAGGAGGAGAACTGGTAGAGGTCATAGCAGAGCCAAGATACTCATCACATGAATTATTGAGGGATCATGATTACTTTTAAGTAAACGTATTCCAAAGCACAAATGTGTAATTCTGTGGGTAAGGATTTTTTTAATTTGGACCGGAGATTTGCTGTAAAAAAACTTCTGGGATATTTTTGTAGAGTCAAATTAAATGTAGATACTACTGTATCATAGGTTTTTGTGTAGTAATGGAGGTTCGGGTTTAACATTTACATTTAGGTTACTATTCAGACACCACACCCATCCCAAAGAAATGCCAAACCTTCACTGAAGTGAAGTAACTTCACAGAAGTAACCCGTGCCAACCGTAAAGGATTGGGTTGATTCTAGGCTTGGTTTATGAAAAAATGTTTTGGCAAGACATGAATCAAGGGGGATATGAAATCAACAAATAGCCTCTTTTGAAACCAAGAGGACTATGTTTTACAAGCAGATGAGTTTGATCACACCTTCATGTTTCTATTTGGTATTTTAAAATTAATTCTTGATTTGCAATAACCCCTGAGGAAAATATTTTAAGTAAATAAAATAAATCTGTTTATTCTGATACACATCATAAAATCACTGTCATATGTGTAAACATACCCTGCCTCTTCAGCCTCTGGATAGCTGAATATATCTAATCAAGGGTTACAGTTTTGTTACTATTTTCGTACAAAATAAGAGAGAGTTTCAACTTTTTATTAGAAACTGTCTTGAGGAAAATTCTTGTTAAGTCTGATGATTAATACGTTTACATAAGAGTCTCATTTTTATGAATTCTACACAGTTTGTAAGAGAGAATAAAATGCATTTCTGTTTTCTTGTATAGAGTTTCCTTTTACCAGTGAAAAATAACACTGCAGGAATGAGCCCAAAGGCCAGGGAAACAATTAGTGCGGACAAAAGCGGTATCTGAACTGTGTAACTGGGATTAGGTGTTTTCTTTATAAGCCCAAATGCTTTCTATGACTGCGCAATGTGAGCTGAGCATAGCTTGAGTGCGCAGCTTAACGGATAGGATCCCGATCTGATACATAACCAGCATTAAAATATTGGGTGTAATAGCAACATCACTACTTCTTTTAAAAAACCAGTGACTGAATTGACACTCCATGGAGCCAGAACCTCTCCCCTGGTTTAGTGCTTTGCTTCCTGTAGGTGCGTTCTCGGGTTTTTTTGCATCCAGGTCTTTGCACATCAGTCGTGTTAGTGATTCCTTGGACCCTGGCCATCCCTTTAAAGTGTGTTTCAGGATTTTGTATGTTAAATGTTGGCAAGCAAAGGGGGGGCAAACCCTTGCGGGTCTTTGTAGATCTCCTTCATTCTGTGCTTTGTTGCCCACATGACTTGAACTTGCCTCAGAGTTTGCATCTGCACTATTGTAAAAGATTTTTCTACTGGGTGTGTTTAACCTCTTCTTCACACCCTTCCCACCCATTCCCCCTGTTGTGGTTTAACCCGGCAGGCAGCTAAACACCACACAGCCGTTTGCTCGCTCCCCCCACAGTAGGATGGGGGACAGAATCAGAAAAAAAAAAAAAAAAATTTGTGTGTTGAGATAAAGAGAGTTTAATAGGACAGAAAAGGAAAGGAAAAATAATAATAGTAATAATAATGGTAAAAGAAAATGCAAAATAAGTGATGCACAATGCCACTGGCTGTCACCCCCCACCCCTGGCCAACTCCCCCCAGTTTATGTACTGAGCATGATGTCATATGGTATGGGATATCCCTCTGGCCAGTTTGGGTCAGCTGTCTGGGCTGTGCCCCCTCCCAGCTCCTTGCTGGCAGGGCACGAGAAGCTGAAAAGTCCTTGACTAGTGTAAGCACTACTCAGCAACAACTAAAACATCGGTGTGTTATCAACATTATTCTCATCCTAAATCCAAAACACAGCACTGTGCCAGCTCCTAGGAAGAAAATTAACTCTATTCCAGCTGAAACCAGGACACCCCCAAATACCTCTGAATACAATATCCTTAACATAAAGTCCTTCCTCAACAGCTGCTCTTAAGCCTACAAAGCATACAGTCAAGGTGGAGGGGAGAAATCAGGGTTCCAAGGCCCTGCCGTCCTTTTCCAGAAGGTTGAGAGGCAGAGGTTGCCTCTTTCTCAAAGAGCAATTCTTGCTGTCTTTGAAGTGCTTTCAGAGCTGCAAGAGAATAGCATGAATTTGGGCCTAGGTTCAGTTCACCTTCGTAGCCTTGGTTTTGCTGTACTGCCATTAACATGCCCTTTTGAACTGGTTGTCAGGATAGCTGCACTCCCAGTCCTTTCTTGTCCTGCCAGTAGGCACTACTGAGAAGAGTCTGGCTCCCTCTTCTTAACTCCCTCCCGTCAGGTATTCATACACATTGGTGAGATCGCTCCTGAGCCTCCTCCAGGCTGAAGAGTCTCAGCTCTTTCAGCCTCTTCTCATGTGAGACATGCTCCAATCCCCTCATCATCCTTGTCGGCCTGTGCTAGAATTGCTCCAGTAAGTCCATATCTCACTTGTACTGGGGAGCCCAGAACTGGACACAGCACTCCAGATGTGTCTCACCAGTACTGATGGGAGATGAAGGATCACCTCCCTTGACCTGCTGGCAAAGCTACGTTTTATGCAGCCCAGAACATGGATGGCCATCTTAGCTGTGAGCACGCATTGCTGGCTCGTGGACAGCTTGTAGTCAACCAAGGATGCCAATGTCCCTCCCTGCAGAGCTGCTTTCCAGCCAGTGGGCTCCCAGTGCAGGTGCAGGACTTTGCGTTTCCCCTTGTTGAACTTCAGGAGGTTCCTCCTTGCCCAGTTCTCCAGCCTGTCAAGGTCCCTCTGAATGGCAGCACGTCCATCTGGGCTATGACTCACTCCTCACAGTTTTGTATCATTGGGCCCTGGCTTTCCTAACCCCATCCCTGCATGATCAGCCAGCATCTCTATGCTTCTCTTGGGTCACCTGCCCCTGCTTCCACCTCCTGTACATTTACTTTTTATCTGAGTTCAGTCAGGAGCTCCTTGCTCATCTATGCAGGCCCTCTGCTATCTTTACTTGATT